GCTGGCTCTCTACCTGAAAATGTTCATGCCAATGCAGTTCTACTCCATCCTAAGAGTGGGTGTCCTACTTAGATAATGTCTCACTGGGTGTCCCCAATTCCCACTTCTGTTTCTATAGAAGAAATAAGAGGTTCTGGATCTAAACCACTCACATCTCTGAGCAATCTGCCTCCTGTTTATCTCACACAATAATACTAATGTGTATGTACTGTCTTGAGAAATCCCTTAGACATGTTCACATTTAGTTAAGGTTCCCTTCTCTAGTGGTATTCCAGTGCCACAGCTAGAAAGCAAAGATTCAGAAAAGGTTGTTCATGAATGCTATCCCACACCTGGAAGGTGATATAAAAGTGGTTATGGTCAGAATTGCTTTGTCATTTACATGTCCACTAGGCTTCCACTCTTTTCCTACTGGGAGGTCTCAGATGAGGAAGAGGCTATCCTATTTGACCTTTTATATCTTTCCATCAATCCCTCACCAACATATACCCATGCCTACTTCCATGTACTTCCTGAGAGTGTCCCCCAGTCATGGTCTTCCATGAAGTCTGTCTGCTTATAGAGAGCTCTTGCTCATTGCATTCTTTCTGATTTAACACTTTCTGGTTTCTCACAATGTTCAAAGCACCACCAAAGGTTCTTCTTAGGGAATACAGGGCTCTATTTTGTCTTTCTCCTGTTTTCCTTTCTATGGCTGTAATAAAAGTCTATGATCAACAGTAACTTAGTGACTTACAATTGATGTTATATATGACACCATCATTCACACAAAGCAGCAGCCTACAGAGTGGGAAAATATTTTTCCCAGTTACACATCTGATATATCCAAAATATGTAATGAACTCAATAAACCTGATCTCAAGGAAACAAATATCCAATTAAAATTGGGGTACAGATCTAAACAGAGGATTCTCAAAAGAGTAAACTCAAATGGCTAAGAAACCCTTAAAGAAATGTTCAATAATCTTAGTGTAGGGCTGACAGGGAGGGGATTTGAACAGACTTGGGGAGTGATAGCATATTTAAATTTATACAGTGTTTTAAATAGTACAAATACAACAAAAATAAAACAAAAATTTATCAAATGATTACAAACCATAAACTAAAAAATTGATGAATGTTGGAGACCGACTCTGGACAGCTGTGTCTTGAACCTTGTGTTACCTGCCACGATTAATCAAGCCTCGTGTAAATAAGAGGCTTTTAGTCTAACCTAGAAATGCAGGATTAAATAAACCTCTTTAAATCAGCTAGCTGCAGGGGCCTGGGACCAAAGC